TGCCGGCTATTTGCATATGTAGAGTACTTATTACTTTATTTTTGTTCAGCTATTTTTTAATTACTTTTGTACCGCTTTCAACTAGACGTATAACTATGGCAACTACGGCAGTTTGTTACTTAGTTATTTTAACCAGTAACTTGCCTTAGCTAGTTTGTTACTATTACGCTCGCTTAATACTCGCAGTAAGTTACTTTAATCAGTAATATTAGCTGGTTAGTTACTTGTACGTTCGCACGCTTGGAGGTTGTTATAAAAAGAACACAGAATAAGCCCGAGGCGGTGGCACTTGGGAAAGGTTTGTTTTACTCCGCAGAGGGAACGGCAATAACATCGCCCCATAAACCTCCAGCGCGAGCGAATTATTGTCCCCGAAGAAAACTTTTTTAAACGACCGTAATCCGTCTTATAAAATTTTAATACGCGGGATCGCTCGGCTCGGATCCCGGCAAGTTGCCTCGTTACTCACGGAGGCCGGCAACTTTGTTTATTTGCCGCCGTGTACTATTTAACTTTCTTTCGGGCGGCTCGAAGAAGTTTTAATTCAGTTAGGCGGGCTCTCCACTCGCGTTGAGGATTGGACGGGCCGTCTTGTGGTGCGAAACCGCGGGGAAAAAAAACCTTGTAATGAATACTTCGATCAACGATTTTTACGTAGAAAAACCAATTTGAATTAATTTTTCAAAACATTTTATCCCATGTTCGGCTGAACAGTGGTCATCCTTGAAACTAAAGCATTCATTTATAAATGTCCGCTTATATATATATATATGTTTATATGCACTCATCAAAACATGTTTTGACGCGATAACTTCTTAAGGCCCGTTTTGCACTTTTTGGGTGAAAAAAAATTATTATATTATCTTTCCATGACCTATATGTGTAGTGTATATATGTGTTATTTTTGGGTGAATACAAAATTTGAAACTCGCGTCATCGTCACCGACCGAACGGTTTCCATGAACTATTTTTAAAAATGGAATATGGTTATGGACATGATTTAAATACTGTTATTATCGATCGGATTACCTATAAAATATGTAGAATTAAATATTACACTAGTTTAATTTTGATATTGTTTTTTTTCCATATCATAAATACAATACTTACTGTAAACAATAACTGTGCACATTTTACAGCGCCTACCCGCTGCTTGTCAGGAATTAGGTAAACTCGGTGAAACTGTCATGAACTCGATGACAACAGATTTAATTTTTGGCGATTAACTTTTTCGATCAATGATTCAACATATTTTAAGCAGATTAAAGGTACTCCCTATTGGGGCCCTGGGACTATCAAACAACATAAAAGTTATCGCTGATCCGTTATTGACTTGAAATACTGTACGGATTTCAATTCTTAAAATATATCGAAAAGAACACCACAAGTTGTTTTGAATAATAATAGTTGTGACTAAACTATCAATATAAATTAGCTCTCATACCAAAAGCTAAACGTGTTTATTTCCCATCAAAACCTGCGTTGTTCACAACCGGGAGCTAAATAATACTAGGCATGCTTTTAAGGCGACATTACAACTCCAATCGCGAAATATTCCTCCGTCAGCGATGAATTTGGCATCACGAACTCACAAAAGGAAGCGCTCTATAATACCCAGAAGCCCGCGTAACGAACACATTTACCGCCGAAAACCTCCTTAAGCACCCGCGCAAAGCGGACCTTTCATAAAAACACCGCCTTTACAACGAAAGCATTTTAAGCAGGAAGCATTAGCGAACCACAATACTCTTAAATAGAGTGGATCGATCGTTAAGACGCTTACGAAGTTATATACGACTTCATTAGACGTATTTAAAAGCGTTATTAAAAAACGTGTTCAAGGAAACCTGAAAGGAATAATTTCGTCCATTCGCGTAGAATACTCAACAGGGACGAAAAATTTTAAGAGTACTTACTTCTTTGAATCCTTTTCGTAAAAAAAAAATATCATTCACCTTTACACATTTTGAAAAATGGACACGTTTTTGATTCATGTTGTTTTAATTTATAGCGTTCAGCTTTTTACATTGTACCTTATTTAGTCGGTTCTGTAAGCTAGTGGTGGTCGTCGTTCGAGCACGAATGAGTTCTCTACCACCACCACCAACCATCAGACATGATTGATACGACCAGAAAGAAGAGGTCATGTGTTCTTTGGTTATGTTTCATTGGTTCTTAATGACCAGAACACTGGTTTAATTTTTTTTAATATATTCATGTAAATGGTACAATAAACTCATTCATGTTCATACTAGCGACCGACCCCGGCTTCCCATGGGTGCAATGTATTATACATATAAACCTTCCTCATGAATCACTCTATCTAATAAAAAAACCGCATCAAGGTCCATTGCGTAGTTTTAAAGATCTAAATATACACAGGGACAGACAGACCGCAGGACTACTTTTTTATACTATGTAGTGATATATACTGAGGTTAAATGAGGGAAAATTATCCGCCTAAAGTGCTAAACCATTAAAGTAACACAAAAAATCCCTTCTTTCTCTTTGTCTTGGTTGGAGTCGGCACAAAATGTGATCATGCTGTCAATAAGTATAAAAAGGCGATAGTCATAAAAACCTAGCTAATTCAAGCTAGGTTTTTATGACTATCGCCTACTACTTTTTACGTCCTGCCTGACGTCACTCCTCTTTGGAAAAAACACTCAGATGAGGAACAATCATCTCTGGATCACACAAATCTCTTGTTTGTATGGGAATCGAACCCACGACCAGAAGCCAACAGCGCAGCACTACTATTATAAAGGCCATAGCAAAATTGTAAATCGAAAGTATTAGTTTCTTTTTCATGGAGAAGTCTGAACAGATTTGGATGAAACTTTGACCTGATGTTATACGTTATGTTAATACGTAGACTCGGAATAATTTTGAGTTTAAAATTTAACTCCTTCAATTCATAAAGAACAACGGAACGGTCATTTGGAAATCATTGACTGTCTCGGGCTGCGTATTTTAATTGTAATATAGTCATATGTGTTCGGGATTTAAAGTAAATACCACTCCAACCTCGTAGGCTTTTGTCTGGTTTTCTGTTAAATAATACCGCCTTCACGGATAAGCGAGATAAAGGATTACGGAGACGGTAACTCACCTTCATCTTTTACTTTCACAAATAGACCATTACATAAATTTCCATTCAGACTACTGTTCAGAATTTTTCCGCCCACGTAATGGTTTTGTGTTAAATATGAACATTAATATTCTAATCACGACGCGCCCTTTGTAACACAGTTAAAGCATGATACAATAGCCAATCTCTATGTCGGGAAAATTTCTTCAATCATTCTCTAACACAATTTACTTACTTTTAGAAAAGTTTATTCATCTCTTTGCATATAAATAATAAAAGCCACCCTTCCTATAGAAACAACTTTACAAATAATATTCTTTAGGATTTTAAATAAATGGGAGACATGACAAATACGATAAATGAAGTAGACAATTAACGAATATAGGTACTTAATTATTGTGCAGGTATGATCTTTCTACATAATCTACACAAAATGTCACATTTCATAAAAGTTTACTCATCGCAATCTTTTTCACGAAAGATTTCTGTTTATCTGAGTTTTGTACATACACTGACAATATTAAAGCCGCGTTTAACCTTAGACATTAAGAAAACAATTTAACGCGCCGCATAAGAGACGCCGCGGGATATTCTAAGGCAATAAATCACGGAACTGTTTATTTATCGAGCTCATTAAAGCGGATGTTTCAATACAGCTATATTCCTTTGTGCGCCATGAATTAAGGTTTTTACAGCGGAATTATGAAGCTGTGGAAAGAAGCCTTCTGCGTTCACCCAAGAGCCCGAATAACGATCGCATTAACCGCCTAAAATCCCTTTTATGTGCATTAAGTGGTTCCGTTATTTTAAAACCTCCTTTATACCGCGCTCTGCGTTTGTATGCCCACAAATATTTGTCGAACGACGATTTCATTCATTTTCATACGCTCAAACGTGATACGTTTGATTTTGAATTAAATAGATGGCTAGGTAAGTGGAATTAAGTAGGCCTTATAAGTATATACTTCCTATTTACGTGGACAGCTTCAATTCGCTCATTCATTACTACGACACTAGTAATAATAATAAATAATTTTTTTAATGGAAAAAGGAGGCTAACGAGCAATCGGGTCACCTGATGGTAAGCACACACCGCCGCCCAAGGAAATACATATAATCGGTTGCATTGCCGGCCTTTACTGTAGTAGTAGGCTCTCTTCTTGAAGATCCCTGAGACTAACGAGAGATGTACCAGACATCACATGAGAACACCTCAAAGTAAAAGTTTTTACATCCACGCCTGCAACATTCACTGTTTTAAGTATTCATTGGCGGCGATCTTCATTTTTCACATGCTAACTTTAAAAAAAATCATAACCTAATAATATAATAATGTTATGATCTATGTGCAATACTTTAGATACCTAAATATGTTTTGTTGAGCTTCTTCTATCAACAACGATTCACGCAAATGAGTCAGAAAATAAATAAAAATATTATATCTCGATATATTTACTTATCTTATCACTATATTATTTTATAATATAGATAAAGGTTAGTGCTCTACAGTCTTAATTCAAAGGTCGAAAATAAGTACTTTTGAACTGTCTAACCGTAAACAATGTGGATAAATGTACATTCATCACTGAAATGGCATAGCGTTAATCTCATAATCCAATAATAAATGTATTTGTCCATTCGTGAGCGTGGAAACGACGAACGGCCCGTAAAATATACTATTGTATTAATAAAAATACGGATCACCAAACACATTGCTGGCGAAACGCAAATAAATCTCGCGGATTTCCACACTTATGTACACGGGGAGAAAACCCATATTCGCGTCTCCTTCGGTGGCGCGTAGACGATTCGGATGATAAGTGTACCTAATAAAACGTCAGTTGTAAAGATAATGTACGGAGTATATATAGCCGTAGGGGGGTGCTGTAACGGTATTTGTTAGGGCACGATGTTACTGCTATATGCGGCGGTGTTAGTTGTTTGCGCTGCGACATCGCCAAAAAACGAGAGTCAGCCCAGTAGAAACGCCTTCCTCACAGTAAGTAAACGAACACTTGCCTTCCATGGGAAACTTGAACAATAACTCACGGTCGTAGGACCACGCAGCAGCCGCGGCTGTTGCACGAATGGGCAGGCTCGTCCGGGTAAGTACCACGACCTCACAGAAGACCGGCGTAAGGTGGAAGTATAACACTTTCACGTTTCGTCTGGTGAGTGAGGTGGCCGGAGCCCAATTTTCAAAAGGTTGTCAACGCATCTGGAACCCTCGGGTGTAGCAGATGTCCATGGGCGGCGGTATTCACTTAACATCAGATGATCCGTCTGCTCGCTTGGCAACTTTTCACATAAAAGGAAAACTCAGCCTTCATTACCTGCTCAATAAAAAAACATTCGCAACCAGTGACGTAAATAAGAACGCGGTGAAAGGTCAAAGTTTGTGTTCACGACAATTTGTTAAGCTTTTTTAGTCGTATTTTAAATGGTGTTTTTACGAAATAATGGTTTGTAGCTTTATCAAAAGTTTATTCGTGGTATAACTTAATTCGTGTTGGTGATAATTGAAACAAATATTTGATCGCAATCGATAACTATCACGGTTTGAAATAACAATGAAATTTCTTAAAAATTAACTGTTATTAGTTGTTCATTAAAAATGTTTACTCTGTTTGAATTATTTACTAACATTTATTTATAAAAACATAAAGCTTAAAATAAGGTGCATTAAACGATGAAAATTCTGATTTTAAATTCTTAAAAGCTGCGAGAATAAAGATTATACTAGAAGTTCATTGAATACTGAAAAAAGTATATATTTTGAAGACTTGTGAACTGCCCTAATACCCTCTGTACAGAGGAGGCCTTTGCCCAGCAGTGGGATACGTATAAGCTGTTACTTTACTTTTTCTTTACTGAAGGTATTATCTAAAACTTGAGAACGACATTTATTGATGTAACTGAAACAATAACACTGCCTACAACTGTTAGTTTGCAACTTGACGATTGGCTGGGATGGGTCGGCGAGCTCGGATCATTTGGATTTTGAAGTTCGCAGAGTATTGCTACACTCTTCTCGCTGTTGACATGTATTTTCTAACGCTGTTAATGTGCTGTTAATTTACGCAGGTTCAGACCATACTAGCCGAGGGGTATCATGCAGAGACTCATCACACCGTCACCAAGGACGGCTACGTTCTCGAACTACACAGGATACCGTACGGGAAAAACGGGAATGCAGGCGCGGAGAACAGACCTGTTGTTTTACTGATGCATGGCCTTCTCGGAGCGTCTAACTCTTACACTCTCTACGGACCCGAATACAGCATGGGTAATTCAATTGTATTACTATCCGACATAAGTGATGTCGGCCCAGCATATGAATCATGTGGTAAGCGGTCTCGGCTACGTTTTTCGGTCGGCCGCTTGCCTGGCGTCAACCCTCCTTGAGACACAAATAACCAGATCACAATTATGAGTAGATCAAACAAATACTTGTCCCGTGGGTAAATCGAACCCACGACACGAGCTTAGCAACGGCGCAATCAAGTCATTATAAATACACTAATTGTATTAATATATGTATATAGATCGCTTTCATTATGTTGTTCATCGTGGCTAAAGAAGCAATCTGCTGAGGAAATTCATTGGTTTTGTTTTCAAAAAAAATTTCAAATAAAAATGTATATTGCCTATATCATCTCGTAAGTTGAAATCCACGTTTTATTCTTTTTTGGTTGAAATTTACTACGATGCTAGGAATATGAAAAAAATATTTGTGTTACATTCATTTAAATGTTTAAACACCATTATAAAAGAATATATAGTTCTGAATGTAAGTAAAAAGTATTTAACATCTCTTGTGGATTTATATATTTATGTTTGACACATTTCATCGAACGTTTAAAGGCTTCAACTTGGCTGACGCTGGATACGACGCGTGGATGGGTAATGCAAGGGGCACCAAGAACTCACGGCGCCACACGACTCTGGACCCCGACAGTCCCATCGACAAGTTTCAGTTCTTCAACTTCACCTACGAGGAGATCGGCCTCGACGACGTGCCGACGATGGTCGACTACATCTTGAACCACACGCGACAGGAGAGGCTGCACTACATCGGCCATTCGCAGGGCGGCACCGTGTTCCTCGTGCTGAACAGCATGAGGCCGGAGTACAACAGGAAGTTCGCCTCTGCCCACTTGCTGGCGGGCGTCGGCTACCAAAACCATTTCCCACATTCGCAGCTGTTGAAACTGGCGAGATTCACAGACGTCATTTACGTGAGTGCCTTTTTAATAACCCAAACGGTTTTCCAGACAGATCATATCAGACAGATCTTTAATCATAGGATTATAAGAGAGGTCACTGTGGTAGGGTCACGGAACAGCTTCTACCGTTGCACGAATACGAAGTAACGTTGCCAAGACATTAAAGAAAGAAAGAAAGAAATGTTTATTTGGTACAAAAAAAAACTACTTAAAATAACAAAACAATGTAAAATTATCAGTGGATGCACCAAAAAGGTCGCCCACTCACCATTACATTGCGAAAAAATTTCGCGATTACTGGTTTTCAGTGGAGCCTGGTTCATTGGAAGTACCACCGCCGCACACAGAAGACAGGCGTGAACAGCGACAGTCAGCGGAGTCTTAGTAACAGGGTCCCGTTTTACCCTTTGGGGACGGAACCCTAAAAAATAATACAGCTACCGGTATCATTCAATATTGAAACCACATCCTTGTCTCATAAAAAAACGCCACTTGAAATTTTATCAAAGCCCATTCACAACCAATTGATTAACAATATGTTGCATTTTTTCCAATATACGAAATTCAAGTGGTCAATAGCGAAATGTTGTCAAGCGAGCGGACGGTTCACCTGATGGGTGGCAGATGCGTTACCAACCATTACCATAGGAAACGCGAAAGTACCTGTACCCAGCAGGTGGATTTTAAAGTTCACAAAATCTCCTTTCCACTGTTATATATATCCAAAGCCGCTTGCGCCCTGATAATTTAGTTGGTATATAAATTATCGCTAACTACTTGGAGTGATTTATAGCGTTTAACAACAGGTAAAGATATTTGGCATTAATTTTGAACACCGTTTCAGCCCCTTGCCGTGTCACTGGGCTACGTTGAACTGTATCCGCCAAATTCTACTGTTGCTATCAATACAAATAACAACAGTTCGTTTTGCGCTGGCTTTACTTACTTTCAAAACATATGCGAAAAGATTCCACTGGTGAGTATAGATATAAACATAAATTAGAGAAAAGATTCCTGGATTGGCCATTTCATTCGCACACACGCATTTTAATTATTACATTCGCTAATCATTCTTTCACACATTGGTCGATTCCTTACTTCCGCTTAACCCCTTCCCTTCAGTCTATGATCAATCACCGCATCGATAACAAACCTGTGTAAGCGCGAATATCTCCAAAGAAGAGAATTGCATCATAATTTTTAATCCCTCATCAATAAAACCCCGCGTTAAAATGATAAAGCTCGAAAAGAACAAGTGTGATAAGAACCGATAACTGTGGGACACGTGCCCGCCATTGTTGGACAAAGTGGTGGTGAATGTGGCTTCAGCGAACCAGACGTCTCAATATCGTAAGTCCTTCCTTTACCCCACAATTCTGAAGTTAGATTTTAATTTGAATCTGATCACTATCGATCAGGTGAGGCACCTGCCCACTCGTCTCATTTTCCATAAACAAAAAACACAGTTAACAATGGCGGTATGATGACTGTCAAATTTGTCAGTCTTTTATATTGACACTTAAATATCTTTATTCAACATAGGAGTATTACACTCACTTATTGATATCAAAGATGAACTGGCGAAAGAACCTCACCGGGCCATTTTTTTACCATTTTTTGTGACATATGTAACAGTAAACGTTCTTTTATATTTTTATTAAATTTAGCATTGTAGAAACGTATACATTATCCCATAAAGTACTTAATAATTTATGATCGTTCCTAGTATTTATTACATCGTACACATTATTTATTTATTATTTTTATTATCTACATTAGTTATTTATGTTATTTATCTTTCTATACATAGTTCTTCTGTACGTGTGTATGTCACTGAACTCCTCCTAAACGGCTGGACCGATTTTAATGAAATTTTTTATGTGTCTTCAGGTCAATTCGAGAATGGTTTAGATACACATTTTTTTTAAGTAATCGGAAATTAGTCGTGTGTACAGGACAACATCGATCTGTTCCGCTAGTATATTAAATATTATGAGAGATTCCTATTTATCAACATTATGTGACTGTACAGCTCACATTATTTGACTGTACAGATATCATTATCGTAATAGATAATATTAGTAGGAGCTTGTGTATTAAATATTATCTCTTCTGTTTCAAGACGTCCGACGACATCGATATGAATTTAATCGGGGGGGCGTCCCTCAAGCAAGTCGCCCACTACGGACAGAACATAAGGGACAAAGCGTTCAGACGTTGGCACTTTGGGACGGCTAAGAATTTGCAAGTGTACGGCACGGAGACCCCACCTAAGTACGACATAGGCAAGGTCACGGTAAAAACGACGATGCACTACACGCCCAACGACCTGGTGCTGGACGAGAGGGACGTCCTGGCGATGGCCAACGACATGCCAAACGCGGACGTGCGCAGGGTGAAGAGGGACAGTTTCGGGCACGAGGAGTTCGTCACCGCCAAGGACGCGAGGGAGCTGGTCACGGAACACATAATCGAAGCGCTAGCCCAGGCACAGTAAGTACTCTTTGACACACCTTACTAATATTATAAAGGCGAAAGTTTGTATGTATGGGCAAATGCTTTGTTATTCTATTTGTTAAACGCCTTATTGATGATTAGTCTAGGCTTCAAAATACTTGTAATTAGTTGATATTTTAACATACTTTTTATAATATAACATCCTTACTTCCTTACTAATATATCCTTACTAATATAATATAATAACTAATATTATAAATGCGAAAGTTTGTATCTATAGATGGGATGTTTGTTACTCTTTCACGCAAATACTACTGAATGGATTTTAATGAAACTTTACAATAATATAGCTTATACATCAGAATAAGACATAGGCTATAATTTATATACGTATTTCATGTATATCTGTCTTTCTGTCTTAATGTTACACCTTCAGCCTATTACTACGCAGACGTAGTCGCGGACAGCAGCTAGTAGTTCATATTTTTCAAATTAAAATTCAAAATATCTTTATTCACATAGACGCTTGCGCGTTCTTATGAAACGTCGAAATTTTACATCAAAATTAGTACGTTCGCAAGTTACCGGAAGCGGTTTTTGTTGAGAAGAAACCGGCAAGAAACTCATTATCTTTATTAACGAAAATAGTTATAAAAATAGTAAGAGATTATATATTAAGATAAATCAAATCACGATTAACGTTAATAATTGAAACTGGTTAAGGCTTAAATCTCGTTTATTTTAATTAAATATAGCTTAAGTTCAAAATAAATTAAATAACGTATTATTATAATTAATTTAATAAATTATTATATACTAATTAACATATATATCATATATAAAATGGTAATACTTAATAACGGCATCGATGAACTGCCACTATTTTAACTATCCAACCTTTATCAATGTGTGTCAAAAGTAAATTAAAAAAAAAATATACGGGATTTGCTTATTTGACCACGCCGTTCTTAATTAAAATGAATTTAACTTTTGTGCTATCGTTAGCACTTTCAGAAAGTTAAATGAAGTCTGTTCCGGATGAAATTGAATCAATATTACGCGGACGATTTAAAATTCTCGACCTACGGGTAATAAATATGTCTTTTTTTGCCATTTCAGTCCGATTGAAGAGTCGGAAGAGAGCATTGAGGTTGGTACCGAAGATATGGAGGAAGAGGAGGAACCAAATGCAGGTCCTAGTTTCGAGGTTGGATTTATTTTCGGGCTATATGTTATTACATTGAGTTCATTCCTATTAATTTTAACGTGATTAAGCTTTTAGTACTAACATTCTTACTGAAATACTTTCAATTAAGCATTTATTGATAATTATTCGAATATAATTAAGGAACTATCAAGTTTAATAAAGATATAATTTTTAATTCCTTTTTATTTTCCATTTTAAAGATCTTTAACGACGTTGTGTCGTGACATGTCACTCATGGCTGTAACATCACGCCACATAGGTGATCGTATTGTAGACTGGTCACGACTCCTTAACAATTAAAATGATTTCAAGAACACCTAATGATTTTCAAACGCAAGCATATACATATACAAACACTGATAACGTTATGTATATACAGTTTTATCGGAATGCGGATGTTCCGCAAATGGCAATAACTAATAATTACATTTTATTGTTTCGTATGACCGTTTCTGTATATAAAATATAAAAAAGATTAACGCAAAATAAATAAAGAGTGATAGCGAGCCAGCAGGCGCGTGCTATTTATACAAGCAAAAAAACTTTGCATACCGTGTCCTGTAACCCGATAAAACATTCTCCAAAACACAGATTTTAATTATCGTTATTTATAAATTTGCTTTAACTCTTGCATCTCCGTATTTATTAGTGTTTTTGGTTAGCATTTAAACGGGTACTATCCGAGCCTTGTTTTATACAGAGAATCATATTTTTATAAGAAGTCCTTTGTAACTTCTCCCTAAGTAATATCAGGAAGCCCAAAATTTCATTCTTCAACACCCACAAATCACAGTTGAGCCGTCGTTGTTCGTTGTTTGTTGTAGTTGATCGTAGTCGATACGTCATAAGATCAACAGAAAAAATAACAAAGAATCAAAAATTTATACACACACAGTCGACCAAGAATAGCCAAGTCAAAAATATGCCAAACAAAATAAGGCTGCCTCTGAAGCTACGTTCCCCCAGGGCACTCAGGGACAATGTCTTTGAGAATGCATAAATCGAAACAGATTTATGCATTCTCAAAGACACATTTCTACGATATTTATAAGGATATCTTCGTTGAAATAGAAATATATAGATATTTTTTTAAAATCATTCTTACATGTACACACTTTTTGTTGCACGCACATTACCTTTGTTATGGAAATTCCTATCAGAGTTTGAACGACTTATTTTCGACATATACGTATGTAATATACAATGTTAATAGTATTGACGAAGAGTTAGATAAACGTGTAAATTGACTTCCTCAATATATTTAAAAGAAGTCATTATTTGTTTATTGTTATACTGTCTGGACAGATCGTAATTATCTGTATTAAGTCCCTAAATTAAGATTTTCAACGACTTTAAAACCCATCCGGAATTAAACCCTCTCAAAGATGCAAATATTGAAAGCAATATAACCATTAGCCGGCTTGAGCGTGATAATGGAGTCGTGAAAAGTGTCAACAAAAGGTTGCAATGGACCAGCTAATCAAGACCTCGCCTTTATTATACGTTCACAGCAGTCCAGCTGCCGAAAGCTTTAACTAAAAGTTGAGCTGAGGCCCACCTGCCTGGTCGACTTAAATGTTCGTAGCAGGAGCATTAAATGGATAAATACCGCAAAACCGGCGCCTGTACCCCAATGAAGGAAACATTACGGGAAGCCTGTTTTGCACGAATGTGCAACTGTTTGCAAGTGTAGAAAGTCAATGGATTCCCGATGAGGATTTTCTAGAAAGTTCCGCTGTCGCCGTAAATGATGTTTTTGAATATTTTGTCCGGGTTTCTATGTCACTGATAGAAAGAGACGACAAAAGTTGGAATATACAAGTACATAATGTGACTATGCGACTTTTGCTTAAATTTGATTAGAGAACAATAATTGTAAATATTTAAATTTTAGCTCTGTGAACTTGAATGTAGATCTCTGTTCTATTGGCCTCGAGGACGCAAAAAGATTAACCAAAAAGGCAAAATTATTTAAATTAAATAATTGTACTAAATAAATGTCTGCGATTGTGCGATTTTTGTCACTTCCGCTAAAGACCGCAGACCGCACAGTGTGAACATTCCTACCATCAGCCCACCTATTTACTTTACCTGTTTTTTCGTTTCTCAATATATAACAGCATAGACGAATTCATATCTTTATTACCTGGAACAAAACAATATTATATTAATATAAAAATTTTAGATGGATAATTCGCAGCTAAACGAAATATAGTAGTAATATATTTTTACTAGTTAGGTTAGATGTTCAAAGAGTCGAATTAATAAATCTATGGATACTCTGAATACTCGAAGTTCCCGCCCAGCTAATCATTATGTAAAACAATAAGTTCTTAATAAATGTATCGTCTAAATTTCTTAAAGTATTCAAGCATCGTGACAACATGAATTCCCATCATCTGAACAACGCGTACACAAGGTACACCCGCGTTCCGGTTCTGCGTACGATGAAGCTTTATTAGTTTAAGGACTGAACGCCTAACATCAGTTATACAAAAACAACATGAATGCTAAAACATTAAATATTGATCTAAGCTTATGACTTTATCATTTAGGTAAACGTCAATCTACATTTATAACGGATACAGACAACAGTTTCAGGATTAAACATTTTATCCCTGCTCTTTCTCAGTTTTAATAAATCCTGGAGCGTCAAACGCGCAAGATTTCAAAAAATCTTAAAAATCAGCTTTTAAAATTGACCGAGACGTATCGCTGGTTATTGGCGCGTACAGTACGGCGATAAACTAAGACGACGTCCTGATATAGAGAAACAAGACAATGCACTTCTTTAGAGCGTAGGACGCTTCAGGCTTCGGGAAAACAATACCTTACAGTGACGTCATAAATCTTCTAAATATATAATGGCACTATGAGTAATATACGTGTTTTAACGTAATTTATATTTTCGTTCAAAACATTCAAAAGATCATTTCGATTTAAAGTTTCGATTAGCATAGTATTGCTGTTCCTTTATATTCCAATTCCAGTACATCACGCAATTGAATATCAATTATTGGAAAGAAAACATCGTCAATTTGGCGTGATTACATTTTTGAAATTAGAACAATTAATAAAAAAGCCAAGTGTGAGTCGGACTCGCACACGAAGGGTTCCATATAATTTTCTATAAAAACGGCATGTCAAAAAAATCATGTTTGTTGTATCGGAGCTTAGCTTAAATATTTTTGTTTAGTATTTATTGTAATAGCGCTAACAGAAATACATCATCTGTGAAAATTTCAACTGTCGAACTATCACGGTTCACGACATACAAGCCTGGTGACAAATGGAAAGACATGTTTGATAAACCTCGGTAATCAGATATCTATTCGGAACAATCTCACACCACCAATTTCGTTACAACGCAGTTGCCGTTAGAAGACAAATCACATTCGAATAAATCGAATATGGCAAGTGGCGTCGCAGCACACTTAATTCTTGACTTGCAATTTTGTACCTCCGTATGGCGCAGTACATCTTAGCGCGAACCAGGCCAGCTACGTAGAATGGAAATCCCCTCAATAACTCAAGACGATACGGATCATAATGCAAAGCTATAAAGCAAGCCTCGCCAAGTAATGTATGTAGTGGTATATATAACTAATGGCGACGAGCTAACGTTTTATAAATTAATATTTTAAGCCAGCACGAGTGTTAAGGATAAAGTTCAGTGAGTTCAAGGATATCCGAAAATAACACTGGTACAGTTTTAAGAGTGAATAACCCCCCCTCCCCGCACACACAGCCATCATCGTCACTCATCACTTATAGCCGGGCGTGAGGATTCCTGCACATTTTAAGAATCAAAAAAATATTTTCAGCTAACCAGCAGCTGGGTTGCGTGATGGGCTCATAAGTATTTATCATATATTTAAGTATTTATTCATATATTAAAAAAAAATACCTGTTTGCACTGGTTTAATCAAATCATATCGCTTAGCGTATATTATATGTATATCGTACGAAAGTCACCTGCTGTACCGAATTACAGAGTAAAGATCAATGGACAAATATAATTTGGGCAAGGATTTTATATTCCTGTTCGACATTGATTTATTTACGGTCCGGGTACCTCTTCTGATATCGGATGTTAGCCGGTCGTTCGATTTTGCGTCCCCCCTATTTCGTACCTCCAAAAATGAAACAAAAAATATTCGTCAATCAACAACGAACATATTTTATAAGAAAAATATATATTATGAACTATTTAAGCCCCGAGGTTTAAAATACTTTGAAGCATGCAAAATCCTATAATAAAATCTCCGACGTTTCAAATAAGCATTTGAAAACATCGGTAAATTTAGTTTTATTTAAATAAATATATAATATCAAATCCATCCAAAGACGAGTTCATTTATTCATTATATGTGTAGTGTTAGAATAAACATAATAATTTAAGATGTATGAAATATACAAAGTGGAGATATATTTTTGTTTTCTTCATGTCACAAATAAAAGCGTTCAATGATTGGACAGTAATAAAAACGGAAAATAGAATAAGCTTACTTAACTAAGTAACTTCGTTTGGGCTTAATGGGGAATATTTTCGATCTTGAAGTGCCATTTTCCGCCATAGCGATACAGTGAGAGATCTTATTACGCAATCGTTATCGAAAGGATGTGCTTCGGGAAATAAATGGGGTAAAGGAGGATTTATGTACAGCTTTAGAGGGTACATTCACTATGCCTTCGGAATGGTAACTCTTAAGGCAATAAAGCGTCAATTTTACGGACAGCAAGGGCTCCGTTTCCATAAATAATTTAACAATATGGTCTCTTAGTGTTAATATACATTTATACTTAACGGACAAATTTATGGGAGCCCGTATAATGTTGGTTTAATATCACCGTACTAAACGTTATTCTTATTCGGTCTGTGGGCAATAGTCAAAGTTAAAGATTTTGAATAAAGAATTTCAGTTATTAAGTACAAAACAATTGTTACATCAACAATGTAGGCCATCAATTTTTATAACTTTTAATTTCATAATTGAGTCTCATTCGGGCACACCATTTGATGTCGACCCCGTGACAGTTTTAATGTTAACACTAACATTATTTTAGATACAGCTAATGAGCTATTTACATTTCTCGAATGAATTTGTGTCAAATCTCTTGAGCCGTTGGGAACGAGAACACAAAGAGATGAACACAAAGTTTGGCATTTTCACGTATAATTTGCATTGAGTAATAAATATCGGGGAATTAAAATAAATAAAACGTCATAAATAGTTTAATGTTCATTAGATATTGCGATGTTTGGCAACACGGTGACTGAATACCGACCGAGATGCATAAACAACTATGATAAATCTATATGACCGCGATACTAATAATTTCTATCGGCAAACGGGTTAAATCAAAATTCTATGAACCGCGTTAAAGCAATCCCCGGCGTTTGCAAACGTTAATAATTCATCAAATTACTGCATCAATGAATTCAATCAGAAATAATTAAATTTCACTTAAGCACGCGCACGCAGTTGACGTATAATCAGATGTGACGTGACTGCACTGTTCTTTGATCTCGAAATTATTATGAATTGTTATGGTAATTCAAAATTACTGACTCAATTCACGGGGCATTGGGGAAAATTCAGCCATGGATAGTGTTGTACAAAACAAGAAAAAAACAAACTTATGTTTCGCAAAAGCCATAAATGCAGACAGCAATGTAAGGTTAAGAAGAAAAAGAACAATAAGGAAAACATAAATTATACAAATAGGAATCATAAAAAAGGAATACATAAATTTTGATTTATTAGAGAAAATAAATAGATGCCTATAGTATCGTTGGACCTTCCATCAAGGTCTTAGTCCTTGGTGGAAGGTGAAGATGTTGTATCCTGCATGGATACAACATCTTCACCTTCCACTTGTTCAATTACTACTGCTCGTTTCATACTGATTTGAATATTCGCTTTCTTAGATCACAGTTTCTTGTCGCGTTCTATCTAGACAGGTTAATTTTTTTAAATCGGTGATAGATTTAACGGTCGTCTTTGACAAAAGCCATTAATTAGACTTTTCATTCTATTTTCGCTAGTCTCCGCATTAAAAAAAATCTATTTATAATCATTTAAAAAATTATCATGAAATTTTCGCCGCCAGCCTCTAGCCGCGGAAAAATCGACGTCTGATCTACTTTTGTTGTTTATTTCTTTTAAAGCTATTCCTTTCATTTCCTCTCGCCGTCTCGAATTTAGTTTAAACCATGAAAGACAATGTTTTAACCATGAAACTAAAATTAGGCTTAATTGATGCCGTCATTAAATTCGAGTGTCATCATCAGCCACGACGGACAAATTAAAGAACAGGTTCGAACAGTACTGCGGGTGCCGATCGCGTTCGGAGGTCCATCGAACGCAATTAATGGACCCCGTCCACTCATCATCGTTTAAAACCGGGAACGCAGTTAAATTTCGCTTGGAGGACACTTTCGGAGGCCGACCGCCGTACGTGCCGGTGGTACCGTCAATCGTTAATTTAACGCCACTTGCGACTGTTACGCCCCCCGCCGGATAACGGGTCGCCCCCTCCGCGTTTCCGAATCGGCGGCAAGTGCAATTCGAAATTGGAATAGTTCCCCTTTTTCAGCACGGAGCTTCATTAACGTCACGATTGTTCGATTCAGATAAAGGCTTTAAATGTGTGCAATTTTGTTTGCATTTTTTGAGAACATTTACCATAGTAACGTATACATTTTTTACACCACATGAAAGTTGAGATTTCAACGAACAAAAAGCCTACTTTTTTTAAAAAAGCTGATATCATGATGCGAGATTTTTTGATTGAAAATTAGGGTGCTTTTTCGATATTGAGTCAAAATAATGTGCAAAAATAAAAAAAAATAAATCAAATAAATTACAGTGCATTTGGGACATAAAAGGAAAGTTTTCAATAAATTTTACCAAAAAAAAAAAGAAAACATTTTTGTAAAAGATAAAAATAAAAATCCATAACTTGATTATACATTTTCACATAAAATTTGAGGTTATCTGAAAAAAATGTAAACACAAAAGTTGTACATGTTTTTATTTCCCACAACTTTGCCATTTAACTTCTTTCTATAGGCCTTGTAGTTTTGCTGGAAATCGAGATAAACCGTTTATACCCTAACGTCTTTCTGAGCTTGCTATAATATAAAGCTTATAAAGTTATTCGTATAACATCACAGCGCATAAGTGTTGTTAAAACGTTTCACAACATAAGTTGCCCTAAAATATTCACGCAACTATACTGCCTCTTTGGGCACTGCAAAAATAAGCAATGTAAATCTTGCGCCGCACTCCACAAAGAAATAAACACACTCGTCGCATCCACAATTTGACTTCATTCATGCGTACCATCAAGCTTTATTCAAATTTCATTGAAATGAAGCGAATTCCGCTGCGTCGCGAGCAACCCCAAAGGACAATATTGCGACAATTCGAGTTCGCTCAAAGCGATGTATTCTCTTTCAAAGCGGACTTGCCACTTTCCTTATATGTACTCGACATTCCCTTATTAAACATTCAGATGACACCGAAAGCCTAGGTTTGAAGTTTATTCTGTAGGTGATGTATTCCAGAAAAGAAAAGTTCTCTTGGAGGTTATTAAATCGCATCAGTACATAAGCACCGCTTCGGAGAATTTGTTACATAAAGAATTGATGCACGACGGATGCCTTTGTAAAAAGCCCACAATCGTAAACTGCCAATCATCAACATGCGTCGATAGTAATTTTCCGTGACGTTGGTCGTTACTAATTAAATTTACCTGTTTGAGTCCATTGCTAAGAGCCGGGATTCGGCGGCTAAAATTAATACAAACAATCTCCCAGAACATAATTATGTCACGGGAAATCCGAAATGGTTACGGTGGACAGGTATACTAATATTTAAAAATGGAAAGTCATCAGCAAATTAAAAGAGATATTGTAAATAAACTAAGAGCCGTGATAGCTCATTGTCCGGGAACTCGCTATACGAACGAATATACTCGAGCAACCTGAGTTCGATTATTTTAAAGCGCTGACTTATCACATGCTCGGCGGTGAAAAAATCGAGAGGAAACCGAAATTACAACAAAAAAAAATCGAAGATTTGTGAAGTCTGCCATAACACCCTTGATACAGAAGAGGCCTTTGCCCATTAGTGAGACATATTATATAGCCTGTTACTTTACTTTTTACTTTAAATAACCTCAAAATCGTTGTTTTTATCGAAAAAAATACATTTATTGGCCAAATACATATTTTAATTACAATCAAATTGTTCATTTAGCAGGGTATTTTAGTCCTATTTATATAAGAGTGGTTTAATGTAACATGTAACCACTACTTGAGTAATCATGGAAAGTAGACAAATATTTATTTTATAAAACCATATTTGAATACGAAACAATAATGCACTCTGTTTCACAGAACGAAACTTGAAAAGTATACCAATGCCACATCAGTTACCTAGTATCCCTAGTACATACAAGTTTTGCTTAGTTTGCGACTAGATAACGTTGCGTAAAAACATGTTCTGAAAGTATCCATATTTCAAGCTTTGCTTTGGGACTAGATACCGTTTCGTAGGCACATGTCCTGAAATATAAATTTATCACCATAAATTCAGCCTATTTGAGTCCATTGCTTAAAATAGACCTCCACGCAGACTGCAGTATCTCTGTCGCGACTCCTATTCCTGTCAATTACGCGAAACACTGGAAATTGGAACACAAAAACCTCCACCTTTTTTGAAGCCGGTTAAAAATTGAGTGATAAAATCCGTTACATAGCTCCCTAACAACAACACGTCGATTTGCTATACGCTCAGCGCAATTCATGGGAGCGATCTCAGAACTTGGCCCGTCGAGCTACTAAGCGCTTATCGTAAACGCTAATGTGACAATGCGCACCACTTAAAGCTGTCATCGCAACGTCCGTATGTCTCCAGCCCGTGCAAGTTACTCTCGCTCGAGCAGTTTAATGGACCGCCCTTAAATGGCACCGAATTTACGACCGAAGACGGCGACGGCTCGATATCGATAAAAAGGTATATTAGCCACGCACTAGCTGTTGTTGTCTGAATATTAAACTATGATTTCTGCCAGCCTATATGTATGTATTTTGAATGTATTTGATTTAGTCATATATTATGTATATTACTATTGCATCATCTGTTGGCGCTGGCAACACTGTATACCGGCTATGACGTTATCTACTCGAGCCAAGGGACACATGGTCGCATGGAGCAGCGGTCACTTGGATTCCGGCTGCGTTCCCGGACGGTGATATAACCACTAGTGCTGCTTGTCGGTATAATAGTTATCAATATTTAAGTTCAGTAATAGTTAAAATATTAGAATCAATATAAAAACGTTACAACTCTTATACATCTATGTAGTAAACACGATAACCGGTAAAGCTACCGATAAATCGATGAAAACTGTTTGGCGATATGCATCAAAGTTGTGAGGGATAAGCCACAGGGTAAGGTGTTCTGAACGTGGCGATATGCATCCCAGTTGTGAGGGATAAGCCACAGGGTAAGGTGTTCTGAACGTGGCGATATGCATCCCAGTTGTGAGGGATAAGCCGCAGGGTAAGTGTTTTGAACGTTGCGATATGCATCCATCCCAGTTGAGAGGGATAAGCCATAGGGTAAGTGTTTTGAACGTGGCGATATGCATCCCAGTTGAGGGATAAGCCACAGTGTAAGGTGTTCTGAACGTGGCGATATGCATCCCAGTTGTGGGAGATAAGCTACAGGGTAGGTTGTTAATTTTATGAAAGTTACTTGTACCAGACTACACCGCCATTCGAGGACGAAGGCGTGATGCAGGACGGCCGAATGTTGGCGCTGGCAACACTGTATACCGGATTTTACGTTATCTACTCGAGCCAAGGGACACATGGTCGCATGGAGCAGCGATCACTTGGGTTCCGGCTGCGTTCTCGGACGGTGATATAACCACTTGTGCTGCTTGTCGGTATAATAGTTATTAATATTTAAGTTCAGTAATAGTTAAAATATTAGAATCAATATAAAAACGTTAGAACTCTTATACCTCTATGTAGTAAACACGATAAGGCCGCCAAATTTTGCATAACATAAATTGAAAAACAAATTTCTCTATTGCTAATTTTGAGTATCCTTTTATTTGTGGTGTACAATAAAAGAATTCATTTAATCGTTCATTCATTATCTGCTGCCACAGAATATGCACTATACTTTAGGCGTTGTGCGCGAACGATGTTCTGTGTGTTTCCACAAACTTATCGATGTCGGTTTAATAATCTTCAATATTAGATTGTTTGTAAATATCGATATCGATGTATGTAATGTATACAAAATAATTCATAAAAGGAAAATGCAACTTTCGTTCGTTATGTTTATGTATGTATCGCTGATTATTGAGACTTCAATACAGTCCAATTATATCCGATAATTAGTCTTGAACATACCGTAACTCAGATTAATCTGTAAGACTCCAAACTCGGCTTAAATCCGATGTACTTATTAAATTTCAGACCAGCGTTAGGCAGTAATTACTCGAATTAGCGTTAATTGACTCATCAATTCGCATTGTCTAAAGGTTTGTGTGAGCGAATTGAGTTACAAGCGATTTAATATGAAATACACAACACGTCTACCTAATAGGGAACAGCGTGACGTGACTGTTTTAATATCCTAGAATTATAAGAAATTTATAAGAGCAGCGATAATTCAAGATTACCGTGCTCGGAGGATAACATTATAAATTAATGATGACTCCGTGGCGCATTTGCCATGGTATTGGCTTCGGCAGCGGGGGGCCGTGGGTTCGATTCCCACACGGGACAACTATTTGTGTGACCAGATAGTTGTTTCGCATCTGGGTGTTTGTCCGCGTGAAAATTGTTTGTAAAACGTCCTTACAACACAGGATAATATTATCCTAAAGGGCAATGTTTAAAAAAAAAAAAAAGATAATACAGCGCAATAAATTATCAATAGCTGTATACAGACAGTCAAAAAAAACTTCTAGAATGGTTTTACGAGGGCGATGTTTACGTAAACATCCGAATTAACATTTTAGTAGACATGCTGAGTGGGTATTTGTAGGTAATATTGAAACTTTTCTTGTATATCTCAGCTATGCTCCCACGTAAGATCACGGAAGAAAATATCAATAAAGTGTTCAAATGACCAATAAAAATTCCTCGTTGGATTCTATTGACGAGGTTCGAAAACAGTCTTCACTTCATCTGACACTGTGTGTCTGATGAACAAAGAGTTAAGATGCTACATAAGGGAAAGTTATTTCAAAATTGTTAAATTTACATAAAATATTTTAAGATAGACTTTTACTAGATATACTTTGACGACCCGAATGCCGTAGTGGGTAGTGTACCTGCCTTCTGCGCCAGAGGGTGTGAGTTCGATCCCCACTACTGGAAAAATATTGTGTGATGAACATAGTGTTTTTCTAGTGTCTGGGTGTTTATATATCTATAATATGTATTTATTTACAAAAGAAAAGTATGTTTAAGTATGATTATCAGTTATCTA